CGAAGTACATTATACGAATTATTGAACGTCGTCTAATAGGCCTAACGCTGAGCCGTCAACGAGAACTGAGCCTGCACAATTCTGACGTCAGAGCTATGTCGAAGATTAAGGACGTTTTGGTTCACGTCAATGAAGCGAAGCACCGATTTGCTGGGCATTTGATCAGAAGAAACGATGGACGTTGGAGCTCGAAGACTGCTCAATGGTATCCGCGCGAGAAGAAACGGCCACTTGGCCGCCCTCCTTTACGTTGGGCAGACTCTTTGGCATACAGAAACAACGTGTATGATCCTGTGTCCCTTAAGGTGGCCGTACACTGGACAACGAAAGCCCAAGACCGCGAGCAATGGAAAAGAAGTTGGGACCCGCGCAAGGCCAACCGCCGTGCTGATCAACGGGTCGTCTAAGTATCTAAGTAAGTAAGTAAGTTATAAGGAATCTTCCACGGAAAGAGTGATCATTTTGTCTTGTGTGTAGGATTAGTATTATCGAAACTAACGCTTATGTTCCGTTCTTTTTGCTATGCTCATGAGGCTAGGGGCCTAAGGGGTATCGTTTTTCTGTGGTAATGGAGGCGGAGCTTTTTCCGCGGAAGATTCCTTTAATATCGGAGTCCAGTCGTTTCAGAAAGAGGGAGATCGTTAGCGCTGATGACAGTAGCAGCACTGATAAGAGTCACATCAACTCGGAAATCAACGGGCAGAGAAGGAGTTCCATTCTTCGATTCTGGGCTGTTCCTCATGGTTTTTGTTTGTCCCTGCTCCACTGACCTCCCCCCTTGGTTCCTAACGAGCTGCTTTTTCATTGCTAGTCCCGCCTACAAGGCAGTGGGAAAGTTTTCACATAGATGAGCACCGTTAACATTAACAGCGCGCGCTGAACCTGCAGAACAGTGCAGCACAAGCGGATAAAGGGAGGAGGGTGACGATGACTTTTCTTCTGAAGGCTTATTGATGGGTATTTTCGTGCCGCTTTGAAGGCTTTGAAGGCGCTGCTTCGGAACATCAAGGATTGTCGGTCGTTCACCAGCAGGTCAGGTTCCAGGTAACACCAGCGCTTTCCTGCACCTTCCGCCTCCACCGGAAACATGGAGCATGAGGCTAACACAGAACACAGGTGATGTCCCTTGGACAAATGCATGGAGTTGTGCGTCTCTGAGCCGAACTGCACTTATATTCCCTCCGATGTGCGTTCAATTATTTGCTGGAGTTTGTCTGATTAGTACCGCTCCCTTTAACGCTGTTGCCAAACTCAGCGTCTAAACCGGTTCATCACTTACTACTTGCTGTTTATTTCAAGTCGGTGTACATGAAGGAAAGGCTTCTTCTTCCAAAATTTCCTCTCAGCTGCCTGATGTGAAAAACTGGTTGAAGTCTCCGACGACTAGAATGTTCCTTAGCGTTGCAAAAAAGAAGCAGTCAACTGCTTCATTGGTTGTGAGCCACGCATTTCACACCCATGCAGCTTCTGGAGGCCAGAATGAGTTTTGCAATAGCTTGCATGTGACAGCCGAGAGAGGTCAGAGGTCATTTTCAAGGTTATTTTCAGTGAAATATTTCGCTGGCAAGAGGGATGAAAGTCTTTCGGAATGGGTGTGTTCTACGCTGCAGGGTGCATCCAGTAGTATATCTGAACAGCTTCGAGATCTATAGTAAGCCATTTTCGGAATTCATGTTCTCTTATTGCGGTGTTGTACTGATGTCCCATAACTTTGCACCAAATTTTGAGCTCAAATTTCGTAGGCGTTTATGGTGTTTCTCCCGAGATCCTCTTGTCAATGACCACGCCAAATTCCACGGCTTACCGTTCGGCCTGCATCTCATGGTGCGCCTAAACTTCAACAGAGTGCCTAACCTCTCACACAGCTAGGTCGGACATCCGGTGATGAGCATCGCGCTTCTTTGGATTTTCAACCGCTCCGCGGCCTACCGTGCACTAAAGAGAAGACCAATAAAAGTAGTCTTTGTTGTGGCCGCCCCACAAGTTCTGACATCTTGGATCTCAGGAAAAGCATGAAGAAGCGAAACGACTGCAATACCCGGGTTGGCTCGAGAAAGGTGACCAGAACGCTGGAGTTTCTAAACACAGCCATGTAGAGAGTGGTCGGATAACAACTGCTCACAGTCCATTATAAGTTGCATAAGCACCACTGCTCAATCCAACGGGAGGAGCACAGCAGAGACAAAAAGTTCAAAGAGCTGGTGTCGAGGGCCGAAAATGGCGATTACGCGGGCACCGTTTTCATCGACGACAAAATTCCTCACATGGAGCGGAGCTACAATCTTCAAACTCCGAGGATGCCCGCATGAGGTCTTGAGGAAGTCAGTGAGAGTGAAAGGAATATTCGCCACAAGCAGCAGCCGAACCTTATCATGGTCTGGACGGGGTCTCAACTACCGGTCGCTCACCATCACTGCCTGTTTACAAAGGAATACAACTTGATACTAGACCGAGCCAAGGGACATTTCGGTGCACCATCTGTTACTGAGGTATCTAGCCACTTTGAGGAGGGGTGATGATCTTTTCAATAGGACCCAGCTTCTGCATAGGAGGCAAAAATTGTTCAGGAGCGCTGTTAAGGCACTCTTTCCGATTTCACATCCTCGAACGAATGGCTCTCCTATCCCTTGATTCAGCGTGCTGGACCATCCTATGTGGGCTATGTTAGGGGCAGAGCCTGCACTAAACATTGCATCCACATGGATGAGCCGGAGCCTTTTCTCTGCAAAGTTTCGAAGAGAACACCCCAGGATGCCATGCGGGCCACAGTAGAGTTGCGTTCGAAGCAATTGGGAGCCATACTCACAACAACAGGGGAGCATATCCAATGAATGTCATTCCTTTCAATATGTAAATGTATTGCTAAATTTTTGTAAACCTCTTGAAGATACATCCATTCTGAAAAAGTTACAAATAAAGAAAAGTGGTGCAATATATATGGGACACCCTGTATTTGGAACCATCACCGCCATATTCTGATTTTCTTCTCCAATCGATAGTCCACCGTTATGTGGGGCAAGGAAGCAACATTGCCTATAGATTGTCCTTAGCATTATGCCAGTGTTTGATTTCACCCAGACAACCTCCATAAAGGATAAAGCATTTGCCGTTGATCAATCCCTTTTTGGGATGCGGCACGCATTCTACTTCCATTTGTACATTCGTAGTGGCGTTTGAATGCGATGTGGCCTATACAAAGTCAGTGTTTTTATCCTCCCAGACAAGTCTGGTACCAATTAACCGACCCCGGAGGGATGGAAGGCTTGGTTGGCCCGGGCGACTCACGACCCAGGATTTGATCCCCGGACCGCTCGCGTGGTAAGCGTGCCACTTGCCACTACACCACTTCCGCCCTCAGCAACTCCTTTTGCTCGCTAGTATAGTGGTGAGTATCCGCGTCTGTCAAACAACCTCCATAGTACTGGATAGCTCGTTCAGTCGCCCCGCTCCCCCCTCCCCTAAATTGAAGGGGAAGGGGACTTCTGTAACTTGGGTTCATGGCCGTCTTTTTTTGATTCCTGACGTACTGCTTCCATTTCTACTTCTACATTCCAATGGCAGCAATTCATCGCGAACGCTGCCTGTTACCTCCATTTTGAGATGTCTCTACTCCCATTTCCCCTTATTCTATTCTACGTAACACTATAAATTGCTATGCAAAGACTTGTTCAAGTCCTACTCTTCCTATCTATCGTCCCACCTAAGAAATACGAACCCGCTCCCGAGCTAAATATTGGGTTGGTGCATAATATCGTAGCGTTTTTTTTGGGCGTGTAAATTCAATCAGTACAAGAGAAACCCTAAAAATCGCCTATACCTTTTGAAAGTGCTTTTTTCGCTCTACAAAAATTACTTCGTCATTTCCCTCAAAATTATATTTGTACTCATACATAATGCTTAGAAGTTGGAAAATCCAGACGGCAGAAATCGGCATTTCGACAGCTGTTATTTTTCAGTTCACATAAAGAAAAAAATACCGTCAAAACAAAAGTTCTTCAGAATCCATTGTTCTTATCGAACCTCTCTCTAACCAACCCTACATATTTCACTCAAATTAAGACCGTATTCATGTCGTACAAATTGCGAAATAATGAAGGACTTCGAGAGCGAGCCCAACATCTTTTTTTCAATTCCAAATCCAGTGACTTTCTGCAAAATAGGATAAAAGTCGTAAATAATGGCAAAGTGGACATCCCTGATTAGTTTTATGTTTTTAATTTCTTCACAAAACGTTTGCGTGCAAAAATGAAAAATGCAAGCGCTACGATATTATGCACCAACCCAATACATACGGCCTCTGCTTCAAGTATTCTCAGACTTCGGTTTACAGTGATACAGAACAGCGGATATACCAATGAGGTGGAGCCTTCCAGGTGTGAGCAGCCTAACCTGAACATCGCCTAATTGGAGAAGACCAGCAGCTGACAAAATGCTGAACACGTTCTCGTCATTGATTGTTATCTTCCCAGTGTAGCAGAAATCGACAAGTGCTTAAAGTGTCGAGGCTTCGATATCCACAATTTTCACCTCTCCTGCAGAAAAGCTACATTGAAATCCGCAATGACATTACTAAAAAAACTTTGAAATCACAGTTGTAAAATTATAAGTTGAGACATACTCGAACGACTTTCGATCATGTCATTGGTGAACATTGCTTTGAAATAATTTGAATATGCAGCGAGTACATTTCGATTGGCGTTTGTTCGTGTGCCCTGGAAAACCTCAACTTCACTGTATGTGACAGTCACGTACTCCATTACCTTCTATTAGGTTGTCTCAAAATCTCGTTTTATTTTTTGGATCTCCCTCTATAAGCTCCTTTGGCCATTTTTAATTAGCTCATGAGCTATGGACGGGCGTAAAGTGTGGTAGCTTATAACCTAATCACGCCCATCCTAGTCGCGGTCTTCGAGTTCAAAGTGAGAAAAGAAAAGAGGCATGTTTTTCACGCTCTGACTCCGATTCGCTCTTAAGCCACAAATTGATCGGAGCCGGAAGTGATCTGCTTCACTATACATCTTCTTGTCATTGCCAGCCATGAGGTACAGAATGGTTGCACCTAATTTGCTTAGGAGAATACAGCAGGAAGAAAGCCCTCTTCCAGGAAGGTCATCGGAGTCGGATTTGGGCAGGCTGCGCTCTCTTATGAAAGCCAATCCACACGGGGCAATATGCTGTGTGGCCACCGTGCCCTGATGTTTGAGATGCACATTTCATAGAGGTTCTCGCCCCTTTGTAAAAGAAATGAAGTTTTGCCAAAGAATCGCTCACGAATTGACCATTGGTGACAAGAACGCGACACGAGTTTTGGCTACAATTTGTTTCCTACTCCACGCGTACGCCTGGTTGAACAAAGCCGCTACTGCAGTTGAGAAGTGCAGGTTTCGTGACAACCACACGCAGAAGCCCGGCTGACTAGATCGAGCAGAAGAAGCTAAAAATGGTCAAATTCACCACAAGGTCATTCTCCGCCTTTGCTGGAACGTTCTCAAGTTAACCACAGGAAACCTTCCCCTTAATACAGCTGTGAAGCTACTTCACGACAACCGCGACCACGCGTTCCAGAAATGACGCGGCTCTACAGGGTGGCTAAAAATTGCGTGCGCCATAAAACACGTCTAACTTCATTTTTTGCGCACAAAAATTTCAAAGCAATTGATTTTATAAAACATCGAACCTTGGCATTTTACGAACTGCAAAAAAGATTTGGAGTAGCTGCCAGAATTTTTGATACAGGCCTCAATTTGTTTCTTCAGCGAAAAGATGGTGCGGCGGAGGTGTTCTACGCATATTGCATTCCAAATTTTGGGCAGTTCTTTTGAGAATCACTAATTTTCCGCACTCATTTCTTTAACAGTTTTTCAATGAAACCTCAGAGAGAGGTCTCATGAGTACGCATTCGGGTTGTAAGCAGATCACCCGTTGTCACAAAACAGCCGATACTGGTCTCGAAGAAGTTTTCTGGAGGTGTCAGTCGTTGTATCGGTTGATACGGCAATCAACCTAGCTGATTTCACACGTTATGCCAGCCACGCACCACATCCCGAGGTGGGCGGTCGGAGCGCCGGCCAGGCGGCGAAAGCGCTAATACGTGCCCTGGGCCTTATTACGGCGCCGTTTGAGATTCTGAGCATGGTAACGTCTCTGTGGGTGCGTAGCCATGCACAAAGACGACAAAAGGGATTGGTTTGGTCCACTGAGCCTGACTCGTGCCTTTAAGGCTTTCTTTCTTATTTCACATCCTCGAACAAATGGCACTCCTATCCCTTGATCTCATTGTGCTGGACCATCCTATGTGGGCTATGTCGAGGGGCAAAGCCTGCACTAAACATGCATCCACATGGATGAGCCGGAGCCTTTTCTCTGCAAAGTTTCGAGAACACCCCAGGATGCCATGCGGGCCACAGTAGAGTTGCGTTCGAAGCAATTGGAGCCATACTCACAACAACAAGGAGCATATCCAATGAATGTCATTCCTTTCAATATGTAAATGTATTGCTAAAATTTTTAAAATCTCTTGAAGATACATCCATTTTGAGAGAAGTTACAAGTAAAGAAAAGTGGTGCACTATTTATGGACACGCTGTACTTTGTTTAATTTTGGGCGTACTTCTCGGAGCTTCTTACCATACTATGGCATTAATCACCGAAAAACTAGAATTTTACATGGTTGTAGCTAGAGGGGAATTCCTAGTGCTGACTGGCATACAGCTATCCATACCTAACCAAAATCTTCTTCTGAATTCAATAGCTTTTCTGCTCCATCTCCTCGCCTTCAAATGACCAGAAATTGTGCAATTGCAGAAATTGACGTGGCATTGGCACACGTGGCTAAATTCTCGATGAAAAGGTGACATCACGTGTGCTCAAAGATGTTCTTGAATCGATGCCACGTTAATGCCACGTCAATTTCTGCAATTGCACAATTTCTGGTCATTTGAAGGCGAGGGTATTCGATCTAGCCATTGATGCCTCTGCAGTTGATTAGCATATGATCACCACTTCTCTCGACAGTAGCGGCGTTGCGCACTTTCTACGGGTGGAACAGGACTGGAGATGTAGACTGAACTCGTCTTACAATCTGCGATTACTGGCCAATTCGCAAGGATTTCTTCATTCAAGCTTCGACGAATTTTCAAAGGAGTGCGAACCTTATCATGTGTCTGAAATGTCTGAATGTGGTGGTCATATAGCAAAATAACTCGTGCGGTTGGCTTCAACGATAAAGCACAGCAGGTCCAAATCGAACATTGACTGCCTTCCAGGACCAGAAATCTCTTTCGGGCCGTAGGCTTGTGGGGGTAAGAGATCCGGCCAATCCATGGTGGGCGAACACAAGGAGATTTATCGTGAAGCAAAGGTTCTCCTGGCTTCGTCCGGTTGTGGCTTGATGGAATTCAGTAAACTGAAGAAATCAAAAAGAAAACATAGGTTCATTTTTTTCTAATTCTGAACTCGAACCAGGCGGAAAGGGCGGGCACAATTACCTTATAATTTCTTCACATAGGGTGCTCTTCGATCTCTACTTGTACATATTCAAAAATGACGAAATTAAACTCCGGCGTGAGGTCCAAAATAGCGGCACGAACATTGGGGACACCCTAGTATGAGCCGAACATCATTTGTAAAGCCACTACGACTTTATGGAATGCGGAGCGCATCCCAAAATAGATAGATCTACACTGAGTTTTCTCTGTTATGATGAATGAAGAATGGATGGGGAAACGGCAAAATCGACAGTGAAGCTAGCAAAGCTCGGAGCATCCTTGTCTAATCCTTCTTAACGGTACTCCAATCAGGTGGGCAATTGGTATTAGAACGGTCCATAATTTTTGAGAACCTTTGGTGTTTTTCGATTCAATTACTTATCTTTCTCTGATGTACTTATTCAGCATAGTATACATCACCATTATTACCAACATATAACCAATGCGAGGGTGGGTATTCAGTGTCTCTCTTGTAGAATTTCATAGAGTTCTGATCGAAGAAATATTGGATGTCGATTTTGACTTTATGGTGATTCAAGTGAGATTTCTTCTCCAGAAGGTGATTGAGAGAGGAGAGCGGATAGTCGTTCGTTGACGCAGGATTAGTGCTACAAGGCGGAGCTAAAAGAACTGACCGCCCGAGAGTCTCCAATTTTTTAGGAATTTTCTTAGCAAGGCGGGCTCGAACGACCTCAAAGAAAAAAGATTTTGTCTTCCTTTGCTTTCAAGTTGAAGGCGTTGCCATCAAGCTGTCAACGATTCTTCCCATCACTGACACTGGTATTAGTTGATGCCGGTCTTCAGCGCAAAGGCCCTCCCGTATTGCGCCAACGACTCAGGAAGTTCGAATTCAGAGGGAGTTGGGTTTTACTGTCAGAACTCCCGAATCGTTTGAGCAAATCTACTGCGGCTCGTGGATTTGTTAGCACACTGCACCCAGTCCACATCACCAATGAGTATTATAGATGGTCATCCGAAGGAACTATGGGAAACCAACAGGAACTTGATGATGTCAGATTGGGTTGAGAACTGATTCGGGACTACAATTTTCCTTCGATCAGAACTCTATGAAAGTCCACAATAGAGGCACTGAATACCCACCCTCGCATTGGTGATATGTTGTTAATAATAATGATGTATACTATGCTGGATAAGTAGATCAGAGAAATAAGATAAGTAATAAATCGAAAAACACCAAAGGTTCTCAAAAATTGTGGACCGACCTAATAGAAGTAACTGGAAGCGAAAAAAAAACACATGCTGAATGTTGGGGAGGGGATGGGGTCCCCGACGGTCGACGGTGCTTCAACTCGGTTGGTACGGTAGGAGAGTACTGACGCAAGTGGTGCAGCTGGTCCAGCAGCTCCGCCAAAAGGGCTGGTTTGCTTACCCCAGGACTAAGCCTTGGAGAGAGGACGGACCTGCGCTCTCTCGCAGGTCCGTCCTCTCTTTAAGGCTTAGTCCTGAGGTAAGCATCAAATTGAGAGGACCGAGTTGAAGTAGTCCGTCGACCGTCGGGGACCCCATCCCCTCCCCAACATTCAGCATACGGCCCCAGCAGAAACGCCAAAAGGGCTGGTTTGCTTACTTCGTCGACAAAGAGCAGCTCGAACTCTACCATCGCCAGAATTTTGTTCAACAATGAGAAGCGTTGAACCGAAAAGACGCGAAGTGGTTCGGAATTATCTTCCGAAACCACTTCACACGTACTCTGAAGTTATGTTCCCAAAGGACACGGTAATATATACATGATCAGGAGCAAAGCTCTGGCTTTATAACTGCCATGAAGGACAAAGGACACGGCATTCACGATAATGAATCTCGTTTCAAAATACGCCACGCATTCCACCTCCATTTAGAATTGCAGTGGTAATTCTAAATAATTATGAATATATTATTTATTATTTTTGTGATGGCTATGTTTTTATTGCTATTATCAATATTATATGGTCCACACCTGCCAGCTCCAGCCTATGTGCAAGTAATATTGCCGCACACAATTCGGTTCTCGGTTTTAGGACATTTATTTTATTTAATGGAGCTGTTATTTCCAGTTGGACTGAAGTGTTTGAAAGATAATGAAAAGAAAAATAGAAAGCGCAAAAGGAAGCATCGAGATTGGCCAATCCCGTCTTGTGATGTGCAACGCAGTCTACTTCCATTGAGAGTCGTAGTGGCACTTTGGATACAATGTAGCCTATGCACGATAGACTTATCTGTTACTT